AATCAGCATATGGTTTACCTGTTGAATATGATGGCATGGCTTTCGAATTATGCAATACGCTCTCTATATTTGAGAACATTATATAGAGAATATAATGTAATGCCTGGCACTCTAATTTAGTTGATACTATTATTTATGGAAGCAGTGAATGTAGAACTAGGTTTGAAGAACCAGCAGCGCCCAAACACCTAGGAGATCGGGTATTTTGGTAATTTACAACAATGAATACCAGTGGGTAGATGAAGATGGCCGCGAAACAGAAAAAAAATGAAATATGAATATGTATGATCAATGATTTGATCTTTTACCTTCACTTTGACTTATAAGTAAAAAGTTAGTCCATGAATTAGGTGCCCCGGGAAGTGAGTTGTGGGTAATGTAAACATTCATTTATATCGGTTAAAATCCTCATAGCGCAATAAATTCTGAACAATTATTGATTTTATATTTAAAGTCAAAACGAAAGTTATTGGTTGAAATCGGATTTCGCCGATTTTTTCCAATATCCAAACTCCAACTTCAAATCAAGCACTAAAATGCAGAAGTGGCTGCGACACAATTCCAAATAAGCACACTAGGCAAGAATAATGGAGAATATACTTTAATGTTTGGACCAACAAACAGACAAACAAGACAAATCGGTGATATCTATGATGTAGTGTTCTTTTTTTCACACTGATTTGTTTTTTACTAATATATCAGGACGCCAATTATTATCTCATTACATTTATGTATCATTTCGATAATAATATGTCCATATAGGGCTGTTGAATAATCCAAGTTAATTAAAATTCGATGAAATCTATACATGACGAATATAAGGAAGGTAATTACGTAGTTGTCATATGTGTCGGTGATTAAGTAGGAGCAAATATAAACACATGTTTCCAGCTGACGTGATTACGGTGCAATTTTCACCACAATTATACCAAAGTGCTATTGCATACCATGGCTCATAGCATTAATACTGTCTTCAAGCAGGAGCTTCCGAGCTAGGATTATGTTTTGGGTTGGATATCATACTATATCATATCATCATGGTCACCGGGCAATCATCCGGTAGCTGGAAGAGAAAATTTCTTTTCAGAAATAGTTTATACTAGAAATAAAGTAAATTTAGTTGATAATTTTGAGTCGGACCGTGTTAATCAAAACATGAAATAGATATCAATCGATCTAGGATGTTGATTTGCTGAATACATATATGTTTAATAGTTTTGTTGTTGCCGGAAGGGTAGAAATAACATTTTCAATCAATATACGATTCATTACTGTCACAGTTAGTATATTTGTCCCCGAGCAAATGATTTGAGAAGACTATGTTGATTTAGTAATTTGGCATAATGACTAGATGTTTCTATTCCTACACTTTTCGAAATGGGACACCGATGCCATAAACGCTCAGATTTAATCTACTATTCACAATTTTTTGTATTAAAATAACAAATAACAAATACGAACACGTGATCTCACAAGCCTGGTGTGTTCGCGAACGCGAGTTCGTGCACATGGCCAGAGTGGTAAACCATTTGGGTGCCGCGCCGTTTTGCGTGTGGTGTCAGCGCATTGTCGTTCGTTTACCGCCTAGACGACGTGTCGATTGCGTACGATCTGGGTGTGCACCTATGCACTGTAGAGTAATGTACACTATGGTTCGGCAAGGACTGTTTCGTTTTTATTCAAATAACCACCTACAAGCTGATTGATATTTGTTTTATATTAGCCATGCTCAGAATAAACCGTAAGTTAGAATTTGAGGAGGTAATAATTTCATTGGTTTTAATAGAGGAACACAAAAAGCAATACACCATCATTCGGCCTAGTAGACAACAACACTGACAATAGTTTGTGTCACTGTCACAATGCAAAATTGTGTTGTATATCATGGTGACATATGGTTGGGACTTGGGATTAGTTAGTAGCTGAAAGGGAAATCGCTGGCAAGCCCAGGGATATCAGGCATTTGGAAGGAATTGTATTGTCATTAGATAATGCATTGAATTATGTCCCGGATCACGCATACAGTCAAACTGAGCACCAAACCGATTTAAGTGGTGAAAATCCAATTATTTCGTATTCAGTTAGACATTTTTGTCTGTTGGGCTGATAATGTTAACATCTTCTATTTCCTAGGGGTTTCGGGATTAGTATGTCTGACTTTTTCAATGGAGAAATTGTGATTATTTGCTACGAGACAACAAATTGATATTCGTTTTTCTTTTCAAATCTAGAAAAAAAGAACAAAGAGAGCTTTATTTTAATGAATGGCAAGACTTGCACAAAATATATTTAATATTTTTAAATTGGTGGTTTTGTTTAGTGTTCTTTCATATGTACTACCTAATTGCACGAAAATTAAGAATAAAGTTGTTACATGGTGTGGCAGCCAAAGCCATTACAATGTCAGCTTACATCGTACTGTTGTACTGCTTGTTTGGTCGTATGCAAAACTTGGTAACAGAAATGTATACTGAATAATTTAAAATGTTATTTGCATTTGTAATTCACAGCATTAAAGCTGAATTGCAATTGATTGGATATAATATAATATATAATGATATAGCTGAATAAAAAGAACGACAAACATATTACAAAAAAAAAATATTATATATAATCATAAAATTGCAATGGATCGCAATTGTTTAAACAATTGATTAAAAAGTTGCAGATCTATAAATATTATGACTACAAAAAGGAGATATTGCTTGATAGATATTGCTGCGTGCAAGATAGCTAATGGTTAAAATGACATGAAATGTACAAGCTATATATTGCAAATTGTTTACATTTAATTGGTTTACGTTGATGGATAGTTTTTACATTTATAAGTGGTGTACTTAGAGCACAAGATATTTTTATTTTTTATTTGTGTTTTTAGCCATTAAACCAGGACGCCATACAGACCTAACATATTCTAATAAAGGATGCATATATAATCGGTATAGATTGTTATCAAGTCAAAAGTTGGTAATTAGTAAAGAGTTCGACAACGTATGCTACGAGATGTCGGTTCGCTTTACTGATAATATTGTTGATACATTGATGCATCCCACTTTAAGTTTTATTGTACTGTAATCCCGAGTGCAGTAATTCTTCAATAACTCGGTCATTAAGCTTGATAACTGGTGGTTGCAGTCTCAACGTACATAATGAGGCATTTAATACTATTTAATACCATACTGTGTTCGGACGAACCTCAAAGTTGTTATTCCACGAATGACAGCGTCATTATCAGCGTACAGTGGTCAAGTGTACGAGCGTTATATCATCCATAGTGACATTGGATGTGAGTGTATCAAAAGATTTAGTAAACTTTACGACCGATTTTTATAATGATCGATAACTACATTGGCAGTCATGTGTAGCGCCACACCGCGTTCAGTATGGGTTCCATTCGACTTCTTATTACACATCGCATGCCAATCATTGTTATGCAGTCTTCATGACGTGCGCCCCTTGCGACATATGCACACACAATCTGTCCGTAGTTGGCGCAATTCATCTTTCTTGCTTCTCGACTAAATCAAAGACAATTTCTAATGTCTTTGACTAAATCAGCCTTCGCAAGTGAACTCGCGAGTGGTCTCACAGCAAACTGCCATCACACACACACACAAGCAAGTACAACGAATAATTAATAATAAAATAAATTTATTATGATCCAACACCTTACAAAAAAAGGTTGCTGATTGTTCACTAGCAAACACTTTTACACCGGGGACCAACCAAGCATATGAATGTCGTTTTAAATTTACGGGAATTTAATGGAACTTAGCTGAATGACCTGATATATATATATTTCTCTTACATAATCGACTTCACGAGGCAGCATGAAATGCACGATACCTAAAACGTATTGTAAAACGTGGACCTCGTACACACTGAGCTTGGCGTGACCATGAGTTGAATACAATGTACAATAAATCGTAATGTACACAAACATACTTCTCTCCATCCCACTAGTACACCCGTCACATCGAAATACGTTATACTGGGTTTCTACATTATCACATATGTCATATATATTAAACGGTAACAAAAAAGGCGTGTTTCTCGTTAGCTGCATTGATAATGTTTCAATGTTTCACCCGGCACTTCGCAGAGACGAAGACTACCATTATAAGCAACACTGTATTTATCGCACAGTAACAGTCCATGTTTTCAATGCGCAGTACTGGTCTGAATAATAAAAGGTTATTTTAATATCGGTAATTAATACCAATACTCTTTTGATGATGGTTCTTTTTTCGGCTATATCATATATATATCAGGTATATGTTGATTTTAAAAGATAACAATGTACGTACTGCTGTGTATCACTCATACAAGAATCGAAGTCATATAATTCTCGAAGCAGTTAATCAGACAATCCCTATTCCCAAAAACAAAAGATTTCTTAGAACACTACTAGATGGCGCTTTATGTCACAAAGGATTGAACATACAGTACATGTATAGTTTACTCACACAATAATTACTAATGATAAAGGTTAGAAACCAAATTATACGATTATACTAACTACTAACTATTATTAATTCAAAGATGACTTGCACCAGTGAGTGCGGCCATTGTACTGATATGAACATTTGAGAATAAATACTACAAGACTAATTGAAAATTGTCAACATACTTGTTCATGTAATCAAGTTGGAGTGCTTTAAATTCTATTTATTTTCAACTGCGTATTTACAAACTAGGACTAGGCGTGGGTCGCCGCTGTTGTATGTGTTTGTTTATTGTGATTATATCACACATCAGTTTCATATATTGTTTCAAATCGCAGAATTGTCTTTGCTGGGGGTGGTTGTGGAATCTTTCATCGTCACATTTTCAGTATCCGGATATAATTAACGGTGATAATTCAACGGCGTAGATGGATGTAGCGGTGTTCAGGAATAACGCTTAAACGTTGTTGTTACATTACCCTGGATCATGTTGTGTAATCTACTACTTCACAGAGATTATTTATGCCGCCCATATATAAATGCATACATGTAGTCCTAAGGACTATTGGTCAGATATGTCGGCCAATAGACAGCATTAAACAATATAAACGACAATGGAAATGCCATTCTGGCGAGACTGTCAATCTTCTCAGCCTGTAACGTCCAATGTACCCTGTTTTTAGGTTTCATCAGTTGGCTCTTGCTAAACTGCGGTCCTCCAAGACATGCTTTTAATATTCCAACACACGGTGATTCCGACTGTTCCGACTCCTTGTGGGGGATTGTTGTCCCATCCTGTGGTGGACGAAAGTTGCCTGGTATTATTACTTGTACGCAATTTTATAGAGTAACAAAGAACAAAAGGCGCTTTTATAATTTATAACAACCTGAAACTTATATTTACAGTTATGATGGTTATACAAATTGAACTTCTATTTTGTTGCATCTTAATTCGGGTAGCAATGCTCGATTGATGTAAATGTTATCAAAGCCACCAACTATAATACTCACCGTAGTTCGAACTGAATATCTTCGTTCACCCTTCATCTTTTCCTCCCTTTTTCGTCGTTTTTCAGACGCTTTTGCCTCCGTGACCAGGAAGTTGACAAGTGCAAACTCCAGCAATGCACCGAATACAAAGACTAGGCAAGTGGTCATCCACACGTCAATGGCCTGCAATACCAAGATTTGATATAACATTGGATTACGCGGTGTCATTGCGTTATTTGCCGATATGTTTCTCATATTATCTCCGGTAGCGATTGACCGGAAACCCCCAAATTAGAGAGAACACACTGTCAATAAAACAGCACGCATGGGGGCCATGCTCAAACATTTGAACATATTTGACTTGTGATGCGCTGTTTATTTCACAGCGTCAATTATCTATCCGACACGAAAACGTAAAACAAAAGCCGCATACAGCCATTTTACGTTGCATGTATCTCAAGTTTTGTTTTTCAAAACTTTTGCAGCATAGTAGCGATAATGGCCTACTCACTTTGATGTACGACACCCTTGGCAACGACGCAAGAATGCCAGAACTCTGTGTCGTCATAGTAAGAACGGTGGTAATTCCAAGACCAACACGAGCGGGCGCTGCGTCGGCGCTGATCCAGAATGACACCCAAGACAAAACCACCAGTAATATGCTAGGGATATACGTCTGAAGAATGTAAAACGCCATCAAGCGGCGTAGTGTAAACTGTACAACCAATAGTGTGTAATTACCTGAAATAAACACAATATGACAGATTAATGAAATCTAACTAAATCTCATAGCATTTCTAGCATCACTAATACTCGCATTTGATTGTATCCGATAATAAGAGTCTTAAATTGTATTCTGATATATATATTCATTTTTTAACTCAAAATACTGATGTCCAACAGTATCCTCATTCTAGTACAATAGAACTAATGATGAGGTAGTGGGAGCAATTCTGTCTTACGAGAGTAGAATGTCAATGAATTTAAATATATAAACTAGAATACTCCCTATCTGGGCATATTCATGAGAATCAATAACGACACAGGAATAAGAGAATTTCAGATATGCTTGCTGTTGCTCCACAATGACGTGTTTTACAATAACACGCGTGGTGGCTGTAAAAATACAACTCCCGATGAATTCAATCGCATGATGTGAAGTGAAAATGTAGGTCGGTCACGAGGTATGCACTGTAAAGGCATACACATGACGCCAAGGGATGCTGTCGGAACTGTAGGTAAAAAAAAAAAAACGGTAGGGAGTCCGTTCAATGCAAATCTGTACAAGTCGCAAATAGCGTTGGTTGTATTTTTCCTAGAACGGAGAATGGGCTGTAGGACAATTTTATTTTGAAACGCTCGCGTCGCGAATGAGATGGATTGGAGGTTGTGATTTGAAAAATCACTCGATGACATACGCGTATGTGAATAGATGGGTGATTTACGTTGCCTTACATGAAGTTATTAGTCATTATGCTATCTGCCAAAATATTGTTTAATTTGTATGTTTGCAACCGTTCTATTATATCAACGCCAGATCCACTTGTCCAATTTCTTCAACAACTCGGAGCTAAAGACACACACATGACAGATAGTATAGAAATAAGCCTTCAGTATTGAGGCACATATACGACGTCAGCATTGTGAAGCATGATTAGAATCCCCATATTTTCTTTAATTTAAAAATTCGGAATTGAAAACCCGAGAAAAGCATCTTATGAAAAATCTCTAATTCACATGCGCATCCTTCCTGTTAATGCAATAAGCCTCTGTTAGTACTCCACGCGTGAATAGAGTGTCGCGATTAGAACAGATCGTCGATATATGCTGTATCGTAGATTTGAGGCGTTGGGAAGTTCTTTTGTTAGAGGATTGTTCAGAGAGGATACACAGAGAAACAAATTAGTTGAAATGCAACCACATCATAATACATACAGATAATACAATTACAATCATGTCATATTGACTGGCAATCGATCAAAACATATGACGAGTCAACTTTATCGACTCACATCACAAATATAGGATGATAATGTATTCTAATGTATGCCTATTTTAAAGGTGAATCTGTGACTAATGCTTAACAATAACATATTTGAACTTTGAATGACAGTGCGTCAATCACGTAAAAAGGACAATATTTTTTTGGGAAACGGCGTGCTAACCCATATTGCGCAATATTTATCAACACATATGATTTTAATATTTTACCAACCATATTCATATAATCAGTACGGTTGTTATAAAAAGATTTAAAACATGGACTCGTTACTATGGTTCTGGAATTGTTATCTTAAATAAAATATGTCTTTTAGTAGATGGATTTCTGAAATGTACTTGTAAATATTATTATTCCCCGTTGTTGAAGCAAGAAGTAACTGGATGACCTGTGTACAATGTTCATACTAGGTTATATCGTAAACATTTTACAGGTTAAACATTGCTGTGTCATAGTGTGACGGAACACAGATGTTACCCAAGACGTTTATTTGTTCACACATCGGAATCGGTGAGTTATTCACGCCTCATGGTAACTGTTGAATGTGAATGAACACAGTACGCCTGTTTCACTAATAAAGCAATGCATCCTAATCAGATGCTTATTTACTGTATTTGCGAATAAACGCAGAGTATTTATATAGCGTATTTGTTTTATATTATCGCAGTATCACGCATATTAGGTACTGGATAAGTGTAAATAACCACGTGACGAGTTCCTCTCTGTCTGTTTTTGGTGATTACATTGAAGAAATCCTTTATTCCATTTGCTTTTCTGTTATTGTTTATACAATGTCTTTCTAAACAGAAAACCGAACCGTGGAAAGTGGGCTTCCATGGCCTTGACTTAGTTTTCCCAAACTGCGATGGCCGTAAATGAGAGGAAACGATTAAGCCGTCATTAGATGTTTTGATAGAGTAATGCTTACACGAGAGGAATCATTTATTTTTATTTCAAATATCATGTGTACCAGGAATGACGTCATCGGGGAGTATGCAACATATCATTGAAGACCGAATCATAATATCGTCTCTCTAATTCTACCCCTCCACTCTGACTGGTTTGACAATTGATGCTCACCTAGATTTTATTCTATCTGTTAAAAGGTTATGTATTTTCATAACAGCAAATGCAATACCATTAAAGTTAAACATAATACGTCGGCATTTTAATGCAAACATAAACATATTGCATGGGTATACTTCAACACTTATTACTATGTAACAGATGAAATTCCAATCTAGGATTATATTACGTCTCATGATTATTTTTTTCAATATTCTTAGTGGTGCAAATCAAGTGGCAGAGTGCTCTGTCAAAGACGATATTATTATAGCGCCGGAGGTGTTGTTGCCCACTTACGATTAATGGAAAACATTGATGGTTGAATACATGCGGTCATGATAAATCTGTTCAACTTCTGATTATTTTTTATTTTTTTATTTTATTTTATTTATTTTTGTAATCGTCTTTTTTTTTCGTATGTGATTATATTGTTGTTGTTTTTTTTCAATTATTTTCATAATTCTAATTTTCTGTAATTGTCTGATTGCGAAAGCCAAAATATCTGAGCTACCTTCATAGGAGATCTCATATAAACTCTCGCAAACTTCAATAACCAATCACTAACAGCCACGGTTGCAAAACATGTAATAATCACTGTAATATACAAGACCTTCTCTGATTGGTTGACTAATCTGGTTATTTATGATTTCAAGAACGAGATCATATATTTGGAGGTTGTTCAAATCTTTGCGCGTTCACAGTCAGGAAATTCAAAAATAAAATTAAGAAACTAATAAAACAATTAAAAGAACAATAAAAAGAAAGACCCAATATGATCTGATTTTAATCAGATTGCTTCTGATTCTATGACATAATGTTATTTGTAATCCGTTAATCAAATGTAAAATTATTTCAGTAAGTAACAAACAAACATTCAATATTTAATTATTTTTCAATACCCTTGGTTGTAGTCAAGTCATTAATTATTTTTCTTTATTTCATCTGAATTTATGTAAATATAGTTTTCAAATTGAATATTTGACTTTCGGCGCGACTGCATTAGATACGTATGTGTTGTTTTACTTAATGGCATGTTGTCTGATTACAGTAGGTTCTGTATAACTAGTTCTCCGTACCACATTCAAACAATTATATTTAATAAACGATATTGTCGAAAATGAATAATACTTTTAAATCATGCGCATTTCATCAATCTTTCGATGTAGACGTTTGTGTCATAAAAACACTATAAAACATATTATCGAGAGGCGCCATTGTCGATAAGATAAGCAGTAACAAATAAGAACAATCAATACCCGTAGCCGCCATGACAGATGTTGTGCTTATTATCAATACCATGACAAATTACCAAGACACACATGACCTGACCTGTGTTATCGCCAACACGGGTGTGTGCACTTTACGATGATTGCCTAATATCACGACCTTGTTCACATCACGAAAACGTGACACCTAATTGCAGCAACACTTGGCAATACTATTTTTTTTTTTCACCACAGTTGAAAAATAAATGCCACACACAAGCAGCAATGCGTCGTTCAGTAGTGTAGTGCGCGAATATTCATGCATCGAACAGAGGGGACGAAAACAACAAGCGAGAAACCTTTAGTTAAGCGCAATATAAATGCATTATATATCGCTAACGTATTTGTCTGTTCATTTGACTTGTTATTTACATAATTATTGTTCAAATACATACCTGCGGGTTATATTTTGTGTTATATAATGCATTAAAGCGGGGGAATCATTACCTGCGCATGCGTCAGATAGCGTGACGTTGTTTACAAACAAACGTCTACCAACGAGCCTTTGCGTTTTTAGCGTGCGTTGTTATCGTCGATTGTTACTTAATTCCCACGCGTGCGTAGGTGACGAGTCTCCGCTTTGAACATTCCATTTCTCTGTGGCGTGAAATTTATTAAAGCGGGAGGGTCATCACCTGCGCATGCGTCAGATGGCCATAGCTTGGCATTGTTTACAAATAAGCGTCTACCCATGAGCCTTCCTGTTTTTAACGCGTGTTTTTATAATCGATTGAGACTCAATTCCCACGCGCGCGCAGGTGACGACTCTCCGTTTTGAACATTGCATTCCTGTGTGACGTGGGATTTTTTAATGTTGAGATTGCACGTTCTCGTCGAATGATATCTGACTATTAACGCTTCAATTTCAACATACCTATTGCAGTGAATGTATTTGAAAATGTACAGCGTCTACTGGCATAAGTCAAAGCAACTATTTCGCCAGAATCGCGCATGTCCGTATTATACCGTTCCAGTATTGTTCTTCTGCCCTGTGCAATAAACAGTGAATTCAGACGCGATAAACACAAACATTGCTCATGGAGATAATTTGTAAGCCAGCGTCACAATAAATATAATTTGACACAAATTCGAATGTACAACATTGCCTGTAAATGTACTTGCTTTTAGCAGAACACAAAACACTAGCTCGTACCTATACGCGCATGCGTAGTTATGTGCACGCGGCGGATGTTTCACGTGGGATGTGAAAGATGGAATTATTGCCACAATAAGGGATGAACTAAATGTCACCTAAACGGGCGAGTCGTGCCATCTTCCTACTAATGTTGTATTAGTAAAATCGGTGGATTCAACAAATAGTTCTACAAATCATAAATCGGAGCAGATCATAAGTCGATGAGATAAAAAATTATCTGTTTGTGTCACGAATCGTTGTTGCGATACAAGTGCTTGACAATCAATCGAATTATCAAACTGACACCTATAATACAGCCCAATGCTATTATTTGCAATTATTTAAGTCTAGATGATGGAGAAAGCCGAAACGTATGATGAATGAACAAAATTCATTCAAATATTCTGGTTTATAATTATATTTTACCGTCTGTTCTTCCAGGCATACTACAAGAGTCATAAACATCGTCGTAATTCGTGTTTTTTTTTGCGATCCCGGCTCGTGTGACTACACGCGGTAGCCAACTTGCGAATCCATTGATCAGTACAAGACAACGGTATGGAGGAACGGTTGTCCAAGCTGGTGGATGACCACGGCAATACAATATTAACTACCAATGTATGTAATTATTTACGAACAGATTGTTATCTTCGGTCGATTTTGCTAAGAATAGAATACCAGTTCCAATATACTTTAGACGAAAATGGCGGCCAAAATCCCGCCCAGGACGAGAGAATCACGAGACTTGTATTTGTCTTTCAAATAATGCTCCATTCTCTACCGTCTTCGCATTTAATGTTCATCTGACCTATATACACCTGCTGTTTAAAACAGTAGTTACACAAAACAGGAGAGAATGTTACACTACTTGAGGAAAAAAAAACAAATCTCGTGACTCCTTCGCTCACAGCGAGATTACGGGTCCACTAAATTTTTTTTATACATGTCGGTAAGATCACTCACCTGTTGTATATGGATTAGTAGTACTTGTCTCTACTATATTGATAATCTCGAACTGTGGCATTTTCAGGTTCTGGTTTAACGAGACCGCCGTTCCTGGGGCCCAATCGAAAATTACGTGTTCGGTGGTGAATCCATCTGTAAGAGATTGTAATGTAATTACAGGAAAACGAAGACACTTGTATATTACAACACAACTAGAGAACACGAAATTCGTACCCGTTATCACGGCAAGCGCCTCGACACTGTGGGCAGACGCGGTCCTTGTCGCGTCACAGTCACTGACCTAAAAAACTGCTCCAAAATAATATTAATAATGAATACTATTATTCATAACAACAATGTTTATTTTTAACCAAAAACAAACAATACATATAGCAGGTAATTGTACTTTACGTTAGTTGTAATGTGGTTTTATACTCCTAGGTAATTGTGTAAAAATATCACGAGTATACATCATGCTCCAGTTCGCCATCATCATACATATGGACCATTCATTGTATGTTTGCTCTCAAGCTTAATATATATATACGTGTGTTCTTCAGTACAAGAACATTGGACATTATCTCACTACTACAAACGAAGATTGTTGAAGCGTGGTAGCTAGCGAAGCCTTAAATGCTCGTGTGCTCTGGCATTGGAAACACGTAATTGTTCGGTTATGCGAAGGAAATCACCATCGACGACTAGCTTCGAGTATTGGAGTTCAGTGCATGGCTAATATTATTCCAGTCACTATTTTCCTCTTTTAATTTATAAACAGTTAGTACTGAATATATCAGTATTATTGAAGTTAAATTTCGTTATCCGATTCTGATTGACGTCATCATACAAATAATTCGATTATCACACTATAATCTATGCTATCTATCTATAAATATATCCATATTTTGAAATATACAATATTGTTATTTTATATTCACGTGATTGTTAGCTTTTTGTAAACGTAACTATAGGCAATAACAATATTCAGTTTGTAAACACGGAATACATTAATTAATCGAGATGTAATTTCTTCATATAAAATCAAACATACACTACCGTTGTGGCTATTATTTGTGTCATAACCTACTTAATAATGTATACCCTTATTCTTAAATAAATTAACAGTGTTATCGTAACGTGGCGCTTTGCTTCATGCTTCTAATCAACCTAACAAGAATGTACGCGCTCATGTAATTCTTCTCTGTCTGCCACAGGTTTGATTTGTTATTCATGTTAAAGTACGGATGGGCTCCATTTAGAATGGCGTTCATAATCTTGATTAAGCCTGCGCAATTAATGGACAAATCATATAAAAGACAACATGTAACGTATACCCCGAGCGTATGTGGTTTGGGGAAAACAACGAAATAGAAAAAGACTAAGAAAATAACTCCCCAGCTAGATTTGCATTATTACGAATGGTGTAAAACGCAATGAACATCAAGTAGAAGACATATTCTGTTTAGAAGATGAGTATAACAAGTAACACCTGAATTATATGAATATTTAATTAATTTATACTCCACTTAGTTGCTTAGTGAGCTGTATCGAATTAAAATAAGATATATTACTAGTGTTAAGCAATTTCCTAAACGAGAATTGAGTTTTGGACATTTTAATTTACTCTCCCCAAATGTTTCCATGGGAAGGCAAATTCTACAATCATTGGACAACGATATATTTGCTTAGTTATAGGCGTTCCAGTTAAATTACGGAGTCGCACGACTTCCATCTTTTTATGTTGAAAGAGAAGACATTTAATGTCGATAGTCTGACTGTCCATTTACTGCATTAAGCGATAGGGGTAAGTATTGAATTAATTGGTGATTAATTGTTTAATCCTCACATCTTATCGTGTAACAACTTCCCTGATTATTATAACCATGATATATAACACATACGATATCTTTCTAGTTATTTAGAAATTAAAAAAAAATAAAGCAGATTTCAGCACCTAAAATGTGCTTTAGGTTTTCAATATACCCACTGGGCTTCTAGTGATGAATAAATCTTTGATTAGAGAGGAAGTGAACGCTGCAATTGTGTTAGCTCATGTGTATAACTGATTGTACCCCGAAGATATCAAATTGAAAACATCCGATGACAATCTCGTTGCATATGCAATATTAATGAAGCTACCATACATGCATGAAGGCACACCCATAGTGCGTTTTATCATTCCATTTGAAATATGCTGTGAAAGACAACGCAGTGATGATATTTGTTGACACTATTGCGTAATCATTCCGTTGTCCTGACCGGAGAGCTAGTTCACATTGTATTAACATCAATGATGTTATAACTGATGCACCACACTACGAACATGACGTTATTTATTAAGCAAGCGATACTTAAAATCTCACTTCACTAATGTAAACAGTTTTCTGTTGCGGAAGACAATTTATTTCGACATACATTGCTAAATTATGCACCTATTCGCACGTCCTTCTAAGCAGGAAGCTTCCATTGACATATAAGAGCGCGGTTACAGCATGGCGGCGGTGCCTATGTGGCTGAATTTCATCAATGTGGCGATAGATTGATATTTTTACATGTTCGCAGATTCCGTCTGTTCTAAATCTACGTCGCCGCCACCAACACACATTGCGTTAATGACTACAATATTATACTGCCAACTGTCAGATCGTCTCTGCAGCTTCCAGCGTAATCCTTTGTATAATTCGCGCATACTACATTGTGTGCATGCATGACAATGCGCGCAGGTGGAATAACACCCATGACCAGCGATTGATCACGGAAGCACGTAGTTATCTCTATAAGAAAGCTTACTTTCCTTTGCTTGACGGTTGAAAGTTGGTAGCTATTCAGGATATGGCCTGGTTCTTGATTGCTAAATAAACACCGGACTTTGTTTATTCCATGTATATTAGGGTTAACTACTGTATGCTCCCATGGGTATAGTCATGGTATCGGTCACAAATTCGTGCGATCGTTTTAAATTTTAAATTAAAACATCTATACGCAGTTATACACGCCAAAATCGTACATACTCATTACGGCTCTGATGTGAAAAGGCGATTACACTTGGAATTTATGAAAAAAATCCAATTTTGTTTAATTAGATTCCGAGCTTTGAAGAGTCGAAAAATTAAAATACTCTTTTGACTTTCCAATAGTGGCTGATGTATTGGATATATACGCCTCGAGGGGAAATTCATTCGATATATCTGTCTCTCGGGTTAAATATGCTTGTGTATGTTTTCTTAAGTTAAACAATGCTTAAACATATAGACATATGTTTCATGCTTGTGAGTTCAAATGCCGAGTGTACATTTGACGGTCGGGTAGCAACATAACATTATACAAGAATATAGAGAAAGCCTAAAAGAAATATTACTTACAACTTTCTAACAGCATTTCACAGACCTGTTGATCCATTGGATAGTTTTGTAAATTCATATAACATGCTAAAGTTAGCGTTAATCTGTGAAAGAATAGAAATATGCATATGAATAGATTTATTCTAATAGTAATGAACTCGGCGTTAGATATTCATTAAAAGCTCCAAATGAGCGTGTTGAACTCTATTTTACTCTTTGTATATTTAACTAAACTAACTCTATAGTTAATTAACACTTTTCATCTATTATTTGCAAGACATGTTTACACTCTATGCAAATACCCGGTACTTTATTCATGACTGCTTCAGTTTGTTATTTCATATTCTTGTTCCGTTAGACCTTGAACTGTGGTCTATATAGTATATTTATACGTGTAAATCCTTTTTGTGAATTCTTTGCCTACTTATTCTGGTGACACACAAACATATATATATATATATATATATATACACATACTTGTTTTTTGTATGCCGCTGCAATGAAATGATTAGAACATACGTCACCGATCGATCCTTAGTTACTGTTTTGTAGTATGTTACTATGTTAATCATTCATGCTCGTTCGCCCTCTGGAGAATTTAAATAATGTTTTATGTCATCGCAGATATATATATATATATGTGTATATACGTAACAGCAAAACACTGTTTGTTTGTTTATTGGTAACGCCATACATGACTCAAATTGTGCTTACAATTTATTGCGCGATCCATGCGTTGCTACATTGCCAGATGCACACATCGGTTGTTCTGGTAACAGCATACAGTAAAATTGTATTTAATAACGTTGTTTTCACTCTTTTTTAAACGCCGACACATTGTTCGGGACGCATGAACGTGATCATCTTACGAAACATGATTCATCTGTATTATTTTGTGTATGGTGAGTGCGACCGCCTTCAAAGTCGATACTCCTTGCCGTGGTACGATCTGACTCGTTTGCTGTAATTTATTATTTTTTGCTATGTTTTCATACATTAATATAGTAACACCCGTGAGTCTTTCTACGTACAACGGTCGTGATATATCAGGGCATGTGGTCATACGGTACTTGATACTTGTTTCACTGTTGGTTCGTCGTATTGCGAGCACTTCTGCACATTGGGTTTGTGTGAAATGTATAGTTACTGTAGATCAACTGGTGTTCAGTTGTTGTTTACGATAATCACACAGTCCGTAAACTCAACTAAACTAAACACAATTACGTAATATATTAATTTGATACTAAAATTACAGTGAACGACTGTAAAAAATTCAAACCTTTCTGCCATATACTCATTCTAAAGCGACAATGTTATTTACTATGTTTTTGTATAATCACGTTTACTGGAGAATCATATATTGTCAAAGTTACAAATTGAAAAGAACAGGCCCGAATCACAGTATTTCTGAAATAGCAATAACTATCAGAGACTGATTTTATTAACTACATGTATCTTTTATTAAGAAAATTTCTATGCATATCTAAATCTTTATTAATGTTAAAGTAATGTTGAATAATAATTCAGAGAATATCGAAATGTCACCACACACGCTGTAATAACCTCTTCAACATTGAACAATACAAACGAGGATCTCAAAAGTGCAAGTCCTGCGCCGATGGCAATTGTCTAGTTTCATTATACTAAGAGGACTTAATCTGAAGTGACACCTTTGAGGGAATTGATTACGCCGTTTTCCATTTTTCTCCTAATGGAATAGTTGCAATGCATATATGTTCACACACAAGACAATGTATATTTCAGATTTGTCCAACGTCCATATTTAACAAAAACTGAGGGAATCTCATCACCAGAAAGCTTCGGGTCCTTATCCCATGATGACAGTCAACATGCATTCGAAAGGATTACCATATAAATGTGCCTTTTCACATCAGATTATGGCTTTAGGAGAGAAGTAGACAGTTGGCAATAGTTACACACAATATTGATTGTGAAATTCGGATCGAGTTGTATGGGCGCATTTACAAGTTATTATAGTAGATATTTTCAGCAAGCTTAGAATTGTTTAGCCATTGCGTGTTGACTATACCATACTCGTTAACACAGTGGACTCGCTTGTCATCTTAACCGAGGAAATGATGGAGTGATAAGAGAAACATCTTATTAATTCAATGCCACACAAACTTTTACAGTGCGCATCCTCCATAAATCATATTAGAGTTGTACTGCATGTTTGTAACAGCTATTCAAACGTCAACTGACTCCAATCGATTACTTTATACAACACGCACAAAATAGTATGCGTTTTCCGCATTATTTATACGTTTACTAAGCTAAAATAAAGATGTTTCAAGTTCGCCAACCCAACATCTCCCCAAATCGCATGCTGTCAAGTCCTCGATGCATAATTGCTTGTGTTATTGGTGAACGTGCATACACGTACACCCTGCAGAAACTAGACACATTGAAACTGTACACAAATATCATCGATGTATTAACTTCACTTTCTATGCAATTTGAAGCATGTGTGCGAGGATTACGCAATGTAAATGTAAACAATAATTATTTGAGACATTCTTTGTTCACTGCTATACTGTGACGAAAGCAATCTATTCATCGCTTGGCAGATTATAACAACTGAATACAAGTTATTTTTAATAAGCCGTATGCAGCGAATGCAAAATGCATTCTCATTTCTAATGAACACGCTGCCACGCTATTGGCGTTTTGATCCCAACAATCGACTGTTAATTGCCGCATCGCCAATTTTAATGGAACTAGATTGGACATGCTTTTAAAGCTCTAAAATGTTTAGCACGTGATTGGAAAATATTCTTGCAATGTGTGTTAAAGTGTCAGGTGAACAAAAGAACAATAAGCTACTTTTCTTGCCAGTGAATGCTCTGGTTTCTAACATGGGGACAGCTGGAGATAACCCCGCACGAGGTACATCGAAATGTAACACCTCATTCCATTATCACGCTTTGATGGCGTGTAATTATCTCATATCTTGAAATAGCACCAACTGGTACGGCAACTACACGTGTTAACCACCCAAAGAAAACGACACGTGTCTAAGGAAGAAGGTGTTGTTGGTTGCTTTGTAATTATACCGTGCTTGTTTCAAAGCTTGCTTGCGTGATGTATGATTAAGAAAGATGAGTAGATCGTGATGGTAATCCTCGATTGCTACGTAATAAGCTTTGAGTGTATGATTTCTTTATTCCAAGCGATTAACATTTATTTTTTTCATTTATTATTCGTATTTGAAATTAGTTAGTTGTCGCGTTTCGTTTTCTAATTATTTAGTTTCTTAGTGCACGCAATTTACATTGTCTCCAACAAAAACGTGTATTCGTAAAGAATCAATAGTTAAGTTCTGAAGAAGATGGACATGTTGTGATTCACGACAGGCGATTAATTATAAATGACATGCACTTATGTAAAAAGGGCAGTGTGCGTAAGTGAACGGCGCTTGTATTAAATAATAAGAAATCTATGAGTTATGACGTATTGGATGTGTTAACTTTAAGAACTGTCTTTATAATTATTATATTAATTTGTCAATTTATATTCAGAAACCAAGTAGCGGAAAACACGACTTCGCCGCGTGCGATGTTATGTTAACTGTCCCACTGAAGTAGTGCTGTGACTTCGCCGCCTATATAAAAGCTGACTGTCCATGCATACGAACAATTGTATTGTGGTATGAAAAACATCTCTTTTACTCGCCATTGCTTAATAATAAACATGAACAGTGAGTCAGCACAGGGAGTTGAACAAACTTATGTATTTTGATAAATTATTAAATAATAAAATGTTATATAACTTTTCTTTTACCCCTTCCCCTTCCTGGTATCGATTTCAAGTAATCACTCATCTTTGTTTATACCATTCAGTCTTTATCATAATCTTTGTTTAATAACTCTTTCCTATATCACAATCTTTATTACCCGCTAATGACTATATGCAAATTTTAATGCGATATGTACACACAACATACACATCCTATTATAGTAAAATACCCCAAGGGTTGAAACTCGCCAGGACTGTGGTATGAGCACAACCGTAAAGCCGGTGGGCATTTAATTTATTCATGAGATGCATTAATAAACAGGATAGACTGAGCGCGAAATTTTAATCCGGCAAGTGTAATCTCCGATGCGACGCAACTTCAATGAATCAGTGACTCCTCTGTAAAATGGTTTCTACTTCAAATGTCGTTCGCGTTGCTCTTCGAGATTTTTCTAATGAAAATAATCAACATAGCAGCAGCACAATCATCGGAAAGCGTACAGTTGATGTATGTTGGTAAGTTGTATTAAATATTATCTTTTTAACATATATAATATATATAATTTTTTACGGTAGTCTAAATAAAAGCGTCGCGTCGTCATATAAGATTATCAAACATAACCTTTAACCTTAAAAAAAACCGACATGATTCATGGGAAAATTGTTTACTTCTGATCATGTGACACAACAATATGTGAGTCATTCTTTGCGATAGAGGTCAAAGATCGCAACATCCGGTTTACGGCTTTACGGCTGTGCTCCTGCCATGTCGCTCGATCGCAATGAGTTTTAATTTGACAATATTCAAGTGCAAATGCAATTGCGTCACTTTCTAATGCCATCCATGTCATTATAGATGCCATGTATGTAAAGAAAACAAACTTTAAAAGTTCGAATGCGTGATTTCAGGAAACAGTCCTGGCGAGTTTCAACCCTTGGGGTATTTTACGGTCATGAATTTGTTTTCGCGTATCTGTTGACCGACTTAATTAACTGATTATTAGCGAATTGATGTGTTATGTCTGTCATCGTGTAGGCCTATTTGAAGTTTTGGACGGAACTTGGCTCAGTGATTTGGAACTAATTACAAGATACCGTCGCTATTCTGACATCCGTAGTTATTAATGTAGTGAACGATTAATCAAAAGATATGACGTATTCAGTACTTAGTTTGATTGGCTTTATGATTGAAGGTTACGCCCTAGAGTCTTTTACTGTTTTGTAATTGGTTAGAGTTTTGAAAATGAATAAAGAGAGTTTGAGTTGGTCTTGGCGAATACTCTACGAGAGAGAGAGTCCTGAAGAGTCTTGGGGCGAGCCTTGACGCAGTCCAGTCTTGGGCGAGTCT